TAATCAACTTGATCGGATTGAATGTGACACAATATAAATTCCGCTGACTGTCCATCGCTTCGGCAGCACATTCACTACTACGTTTGCCCACCATACGGAATTCATTTTGCATTGCCTCCATGTTGCCATCCCAATTTGTACGATTGTTTAAGACGCTCAAAGGCACCGCATATTCGCTGTTGCTGGCCAACGGATGGAAGTAGAGTTGGCGGTGATCCGTGGCCAAAGCAAACATGCCATCCATCAGAATGAAGCTTTCGCGTGCAATCGTGTGCGTGCCATAATCGGGATCTGGGTACATGAATTTATTCTCGGCACGCCAGGCGCTATTCGACTCCGAGTCATAGATAACCAGGCCGTGATGTGTGACATCAGCCTTGAATGAAATATTAATGTAAACAAGAAAAACATGAGCGTGTGAAGGCATGATTCAGTTATGCATACTTAGCATTGCATGACAGTGCGTGAAATTTGTCACTTAAGGAATCTACTCAAGAAAGCGACTATATTTCAAAGTCGAACTTTATGTATGCCTGACAATGCCAAGATACATATAGTATACATAACACAGCCTCTAGCAAAAAAAGAAAAACTGGTCTCACTGTAAGAGTGCGTGAGCGGAAATTTTGGCTTGCAGTTTGTAATACATAGCATTTACATACTTACAATGTAAACATGCAGGCGTTGGCAGCGGCCTTTCGGTGGAGGATCGTGCACGACAACAAGTGGAGTGATGAGTAGTGAAGCCACCGGCACGTACATGTTGCCTTCAAAGCGATAGCGATGCGCTAAAGTATCTGTATTTAGATCGAATATCAGTAGCTGTGGCGGACAGTTTTGAGTAGTTCCGATTACGCCTGAATCAATAACAAACATCTGATTGCACTCTGTGATCTAAGCGAAGCAGAAGACATACATTAAAATTATTTAGGCATCTGGGCACTCTACATATGTGCTCAATGCTTTAACTTACCGCCACACGAAATGCGGAAGTGATTTTATTACAATCTTCGCCATTGGCATTATGCCAAGTATAGTTAGGATATGGTATCAGAACCGGACCATTAGCTTCATTACTATCACTCACTGTGGCCAGCGTGTACGGGATGCCGGTTTGAAATCGGGGAATTGTGATGAAGACACGCGAACCCTTTTGAGCTGTTAAAGTTGAGAAAAGCAATATATGTATATTTTTTAAATTTTGCACTAAAGAGCATAATATATTTTTTCAATAATTGCTTTGTAAATAAATATACATACATTGTTGGTGTGGCGCCACATCGATTGGTATTCCATTTGCTGGTACTAAATTACCATTGGCTAGTGCTTCTTGTCGATCTTGCTCGGTAGGGAAACCATAGACGAGCTGTTTCCACTGATATACTGTTTCTGAATTGCGCTGCTTTACACAGACTATGACCTGGAGTGTTAAGGCCAGTAGTAATAGAATGAAGCCTCCCGTCCACATGACGTAATTGGTTGGAAATGAACGCGTAATAAATATTCTGTAAGAGCAAAATTAAATATGCTTTTATTTGTTGATGTTATTTACTTTTATTTTTTTTCTATGTGTCTAAGATACATATAAAAGATGACAAACATAATTAGGTCTTAAAATTTGGGGTAAGTAATAAAAAAAGTAGTCAAAACTTGATAATATGTGGGTGTCGTATACTAATGATAAGCACTAGAATAATAATAGATTGGCGCTTACACATATGTTAGGGTTTGGCCGAGCTTCTCTTCCGATTTGTGGCGTGTGCTTTTTTGTAGTCACACAAAGGGAAGGGACCTACAGTTTTACGCCGACTCCGAACGGCGATTGTATTTTTTATGAGAAGCTGTTGTTCATGGCAAAATACACTCGGAGGTTTGCCATTGCCTGCCGAGGGGCGACCGCTATTAGAATACAACTTTTTTGTTTTTTTATTTTTTGATGTTGGATTGAACCCAGGCCCTGCGGAATGGTAGCGTGCACTGCTAACCGATACACCGCAGCGGCCGCCGAGCATTAAAGCTGAAGTAAAAAAATACAGCAACTAAACTGTTTAATCAAGTCGCGTGAAATTAAATTTTTTTTGAATAGCTTAAGAAGACATGCAGAAATCTGCCTTTCTCGCCCAGAAATAAGGATGCAAAATATTATTTGCCTCATCGTCTATTTAGAGGTGCCCCGACAGCATCAAATTTTGAAAAAACGGACATAATTCTACTTCACAGATTTTTAATTAACGAAGCAGACTTTTTTAATCTGTATTTTTTCAGACTAATTTGGGTCGCTGAATCTGAATTTGATGCTCATTTGTTTTTCCAAAGAGCGGAATGAACAGTGCATTGATGGAGAGTTGGCGCAAGGGAATGAAACCTAGTCGTAGATTCTAAAACATTTTCATGAACAGCACTAATGTTGTAACGGGAGTGGGCGCCGAAATATACTGCCGGTAACTGAACGTCAGGTGGGCAGTGAGGTTATCTGACCAGTACAGCATATTTCAAGCAGAGATTATCGCAACGAGGATAGCAGCAGAGCTAGCCTCCACCGAAATGGCAATCAACTAAAAAGTAAACTTATACGTAGACAGTCGGGTGGCAATTAAGGTAGTTACCTCTAATCGTATTTCATCTTCATCTAAAATATCCGTCACAACCGTGAAGCCAGTAATCGCTATAGCGTCCCACATCCGCTGCGGCCATCGAGCGCCCGCACATGTTAACATTGCCCTGCTTTTATATGTATGTATGTATTTACATATCGACACTTGAGTGGAAGATCGACCTATCTCAGCAGCCAGTTCGAAAACGCCCTATCTCACAGAACTTTTCAAGAATGCCCTACTTCAGAATTTGATTGAAAAACACCCAATCTTCAAATTTGGTTGGGGAACGCCCTATTCCGGAATTCGGTTCAAAAACCTACTACCTCACCTGAAAATACATTGAAAATATGCTGAAAGAGGGCGTTTTTTACTCGGCAGCTGAGGGCATTCTTCAACCAAATTATGAGATAGAGTGTTTTCAATAAAATTCTGAAGTAGGGAGTTCTTGAAAAGTTTTTTTTGTGATAGGGCGTTTACGAACTGGCTGCCGAGATAGGTTGATATTTTACTCAGGCATCGATATAATAAATTTGCAGCTGTAAACATTGAATTTTTTTTAATCATTTCTATTAAAACCTAACTCAAACATCAGTATTTGTAAGTTAAAGATATGTCTCCCATGCCAAAGAAAGCCACTGCATGTTTAAGTTACATTGAATAAATTAGATAAAAGTATTTAAAAATTCTACTTGATAGAAGTTTGCTTAGATAAGAGCGTCATAAACTTCTAAACCGGTAGAATAGCTAAATATGTATTAGAAAACTTACCCAAATATTGCTTACCAAAAGATGTTAATTAATGAATATAATTTAATTTTTGTTTTGTGTGGTGTGTTGACGTAAACACTTTCACCGATTTTGAATTTTTGGGCGCGTGTTTATGAATTAATTATTATAAAAAACGTACATCTGTTAACTGAAATATACTAGCACTGCACTACAGCATAATAACAATAGCGATTTATGATTTTGGAAATATTAAAAGTGTTGCTTTCGTTTGTTTAGTTTGTCACGCAGCTTAAATTTCGTGTGGAAGCGAAGACGAGTCCCTCCCCTTGATTAATAATAGCAAACCCGTACTTCTCACATTTATTCAAAAGATTAACACTATTTTAAACGGTTTTGTGATAGAGTAATCACTATCTTTCATTTATTATTTAAATAAACAAAATTATCACTTTTCCACTTAAACTAAAAAAAAATCAGACGCTTGGAAAATCACTTCTTATTAAATGCTGCTGAATTTGACAAAGCGCAAGATTAAAGTTCGGCAAAAAACTTGTTCAATTGGAAATTACTAGTGTGCATATGTATACTAACATGTATTTATGTATACATATGTATTTATGTATCAAAATTTTGTAGAAATTTAATTGTAAATAATATCGATAAGTATTTACATAAGTATACATATGTTAAATATGTATGCAGGTTTGTATGTATATCTGTACATGTGTAATGATCTGTGAATATTTATTAGTATATTTAATAACACTGCGAAATAATTAGGCTTTGTCTTAGGGCTTCAACAAAATTATATACGAATGTTAAGTAGCATCTACGCGCCAAGTCGTCACAACTTTTTTTTTGCAGTGGGTTAAAGTTTACACTTATTTGTCACACTTATGTATTTTAATTCTACGAGTATATCATGTGGTTTTTTGTAAAAAGTAACATCAAAGATAATTCTTATCAACAGGGATCTACTACACATAGTAAAACTGAGACAGCAATTTTTTTCGTAGAACATTTTAAACTCTCAACTTTAACCGTAATGGGTTTCTATGCCGCTTGTTGTAAAGAAGTAACATTTGAGCTACAAAGATGTAATGTAGAAATATTATAGGCCTTCATATAAATTTGGTGTAGGAGGATCTTTTTAAATATATACTTGAATTAAAAGATAAAATGTACATGTGTCGAAGTATTGTCTTCAAAAACCTATAGTAAAATTTAGCGAGCAATTCTTTCGTGCATTTTTTTAACCCTTTAACACCGCTGTTTATGGGTCGCTTTGACTCCTTTCTGTAAAAGTTTATTAAGGAGAGGTTAAAATATCCTATTAAATATTAAGTGCAGAATTTTACTGAGAGTTGTTAAAGTACCAAAAATGCGATCACTAAAGATGAGAGTGTTACGCGGCGAATTCGAAAATTTAAGATATTTTTGTCGCTATGCTATTTGCCGCTTTCTTTGCGTTTCTGAAAAATAAAGGTTTGTTTTTGCCTATTTTATCCGATAATGTCTTGTCGCTCTCTTTATCGCGTCACTATGTTCTTTGCCTAATAACCAAGGCTGGCAAATCTAGGCAATTGCTTGAAAAAGCTTATTTTGCATATGTCTGGAAATTTTTTGATTTTTGCATATATTCGA